GGCTCAGTGGGAGTGGGCATAGGACAGTGGATGTACTATACCTGGACTTTAGCAAAGCTTTTAACGTTGTCTGCCACAACATTCTCATTAATAACCTAAAGAAATACAGACTAGATGAAGTACTGTAAGGTAGATAACAATGTGCTGGATCATCATGCTCAAGGAGTAATCATCCATGATGCAGTCTCAAATTGAGAGAAGATATCAAGTGGGGTTCCCCACCGGTCTTCCATGGGTTGATGGTTGTTTAACATCTTTATTAATGATATGGAGAATGGACTAAGTATACACTTAAATTTCTGGATGACAAGTTCAGTGGAATTGCAGACATTCTGGAGAGCAGAGGATTCAGAATGACTTGGATAAACTGGAGAAATGGTCTGAAATCAACCAAATGAAATCAGCTAGGACAAGTACAAAGTCATAAACTAAGGACAGAATAAATATGTTCACAAATACAGCCAAACAGTCAACTGACTAGGCTGTAGTACTTTAGAGAACAAACTGTGGGTTACTAGAACCATAAACTCATTATATGAGCTTATTAGACCACAGGGTAGTCTTGCTGCAAAAAAACACAACAAAACAAACTCCTCCCCTCCCCGCTCCCCTATTCCCCCTCAAAAAGCAGGAGTATACTGGGTTGTAGTAACAGGAGGGAATCATGGGGAATCTTCTTTTGCTCTATTCAACTGGTAAGACCTTGCTTGGAATACTGTGTCCAGTTTTGGACCATACACTTCAAGAAGGATGGGGACACTCTGGAAAGAGTTCAGCTGAGAGGGGTTCTAGAAAGCATGACTTGTGAGGAAAGACTGAAAAAACTATGATTATTTAGTCTGCAGAAGAGAAGACTGAGAGGGGCTTTGATAACAGCTTTCAGATACCTAAAGGGTGATTATAAAACAAGGTGGAGATGGACTATTTTCTATGGCTACAGGGGGTAGGACTAGGAACTATGGCTTTAAACTGCAGCAGAGGAAATTTAAGTTGGAGAATAAGAAGTACTTTGTCATTATGAAGGTATAGTTAAGCTTTTAAACAGATTTCCCAGAGAGGCTGTGGAATCTGTCCCTGAACAGTTTCAAGAGGAAGTTAGATAGACACTTGCCTGTAGTGAAGCTGCCTTGAGCAAAAGGTTGGACTGGATAACCTGAAGAGGTCCCTTCCAGCTCTATTTTACTATGATCTTATGTTACCAAATGGAACAAATTAAAATGCTAGATAGACCATAAGTTGAGCCTGTACCTTTGCATAATTTAGAGAAACTCAAGAGTCAAATGACAATACATGTAAAGTGACTTGTAGGAAAGGTAAGTCTAGGGTAGTGATTCTCAAACAGGGTGACAGGCCACCCTGGGGTGCCAGAAGATCATTTGAAGAATGCCACAGGAAATGTGAGGAGGTAAGTGAAGTGTGAAGAGTGTCAATAAGGAGAGGCTCCCTATCTGGCTGCCCTTCCACCCCACTGTCTGGCTCCTCAGCAAGCTGGCAACCACTTTAATAAATAAGTCCATTTTTTAAATGGGGTGCTGCTCAATTCACAAAAGTTAAGGAACAGTGCCTTGGATCCAACTATGAGAGCCCTGAGTCTAAAAAGTTGAGAACCGCTGATCTAGGACAAAAGGCAGGATGGCACCTTAGAAACTAAAGGATCAAAAGAGAAAGAAAAACAAGTTTCCACAGTTAACCCATTTATTTGTATCACTGCAACCAGTAAAGATCTTCTGAATGCAGCTATTGATGAAAAGCTGATGCTTGACACTAAATTGAATGCTACAGAGTGGATGGAGGTTCAAACCTTTCCATACATGACAACCTAGATGTCTGATATGAGCCACAGACCCTCAGATTAGACACTGTTGCATTGTCTAACCTTGAGAAATGTGTCAGTGTGTTTTTCTGTATTTCTCCTCCAGTTGGCTGTCTTTCATGAGTCAATGAGAGAGCCACAAAAAGCAAAAGACAACCTAAACTTCTGTAAAGAACTAGAAACTGCTCCATGTGAGACAAATGTCAGACAAAGAAACCTAACAAAAGCCTCAAGAATTTCCACCACTGAATTCTGCAGTTTCAGTGGTCATTTGTTTCTAGGGCTGTGCTAAGCTTCAGTTGCCAATACAATTCGGAGAAGATTTGGCCCGATTCAGCAGCTGAATCTCCGAATCCGAATCAAATCAGGAGACCAATAAAAAGGTCTGAAGCAATTTGAAGCCTCTGAATCAATTTGGAGAAGATTCGAAAAAGCTTTGGAGATTTGGGCAGTCCCCACTCACTGCTGCAGGGAGCTGGACCTGGGCTCTGTGCTGGTAAGAAGGGGGTGGGGGGAGTGGTTGGAGGAGGGAGGAAGGGAACATGGGGTCCTGCTCGGCCCCATCCCCTGCCTGCTCCCCCAGGCCCCCTGCTCGTCAGCTTCTCCATAGCTGCCCTGCCTGGCCCAAGCATCCTGGCATGTAAAAAGCCCCACACTCACCGGATACTGCAATGGCCATCAGGGCTTCTGAGGACTTGTGGCAGAGCCCCCCACGCAGCGCAGGGCAGTGGGTAGCAGCGAGTATCGCTCCCCTGCCTGGCAGGAACCAGTGAGTGCAGGGTTTGTTTGTTTTTTTTTAATTTTTTTAAGTGCCAGGATGCTGGGGCCAGGCAGGGGATGGGGCCTGTTTGATTCGGAGATTTGGCTGATTAAGCAGCAGCCAAATCTCTGAATCAGATTTGGCTGAATCGATTCAGGACAGTGACTCAAATTACCTAATTGAATCACTGTCCCCCGATTTGGCAGAATCCAAATCCAAAGCAAATACTAGCTGCTTTGCACAGGCCTGTTTCTGTTTAACTTAATAGGTTTTCCCTTTCACTTGAAGATCCGGTTTGTACATTTAGAAAAATATCTGAAGTAAAGCTCTCAAACATGTGAAATCTTTTATTGGTGACTGGGGCTGAGAAAGGACAGGAGCAACTAGTTTTAGTTATATTTTGAAAAATTCATTTGCTTTCACTCTCCTGGTCAGATACATCAGACAGCAACAAATGAGGTCTCTCTCAAAATTCAAGCATACTACTTCCAGACTTAAGATGTAGCATCTTCCATATTTCAGCCTACCCCTATAATCCAAAAACTGTACAAGACATATTACTTGGATCTTTTGTAAAAACCAATCCCAGAAATGCAACAGAAGTTTATTAGTGAAGATTTAATAGAATAATAAAACTAAAGATTGACAAGATGCTTGAGGCCTCTCTCACCATTTACCATCAATGTTGCTAGTTAATTGTTCAATCATTTTTCAGAGAATTGTTTGTATTGGGTTTTATTGTAAGCTGATATATAACTATGGTTTCAGATTCTCTCATGTCCTTTATAAAGCATGCCATATGTTCTCTACTATATTTATAACTGTTTGACCAAAAGTATATTTCTCTTATATAATTTTTTTAATCTTGTTCCCTCAAAACCTAGGGTTTAAATCTTTAATGAAGACTGTTTATATATCAATTCCATACCTTTATGCAGAATCTGGAAGATACAGAGCAAATCTGCTCATTGTCTTTTTCCCTGTAAAGCACAATCCTTGTCCCCAGGATTCCTTCCACAATAAATAACCTTCCTAAATCTAGTCAGTCTTCTGGCTGGCTGATTTTTGACCACTGCTATCCCCATCACTGGTTTTTGTACTGGATTTCTACCAAGTGCATCTTGAATGTGATGAAATGTGGAATCATTAGTTTAACTGAAGCCTAAATACTTGAGAGAGTCCTGAGGAAGGGTACTGTGACACGTGGAAGCTTGCCTATGTCTGTCCAAACCATGCAGTTGATCCAATCAAAGATCACTCACAAGAATGCTTGCTTTTTCTGGACCATCATGGCCACAACATCACCTCAACATTATAAACATTATATATACTAACATAAACAATATGCTCTAGTTCAGGTATCAAAATTCAAATTAAATGAGCAATAAACAAATATTAGTCAGGTAAAAACTATATCTAGACTAAAATTTGATTCCAAAACAATGCAAAAAGTTTAGACTAAACATAGTGTTTATTCCCAGACTAGTTAAACTATTTCCTTACAAAACCAGTTAGTCTTCTATTTTCTTATTCCCATAAAATTTCACCAATTGTGCCTAAGCTGATGAAAGGTTTATGCTACAAGACCCAATTTAAAGATGTAAGACTAAAAAGTTCCTCTTATTTTTATTTATGTTTACCAAGTGATATTTTAATGAGTTTTCCCTTGATTTCACTAAAATAAAGTTAAGCTCAAGTTGAGCTCCATTATTTCTGTCCCAAGACAATAGCGCTATGCAGTCTTCACAGCTTGGCAATGAAGGCAAAATGCCAGATATAAAGTCAAAGTCAACACATTCTTGTGGACAGTCAGTAATGGCTGTCTTGTAATGTTAGATCATTTCCCACATTGTCTAGACTCCTGATTACAATACTGTGCCTGCCAAATCACATGCAAAGGGCAGCATTTTTAACCTTTGGGCAGCATTTTTAACCTTTGTTTCACATTAGAACCATTATTATATGTGCACTGAGAAAGGTATTATTGACAGTTTTAATGTGTATTTTTTCTAGATAACATACATTTCATTTCAAAATAATTTTAACATACCTAATTAATTTAACAGATTTTATAAGGGGGAAGTACTGTAACTTTAGTATTTAAATACCCTTATCAAATTGTTGGTTTGTTTATCTTTCTGACCTGTTGTTATAAAGCATTGACAATTCTCCCTGACAAGAGAAAATTAATTCTCTTGTGTTAGAAAAACAGATTATCTTGCTTATTTTACATCTAAATCCACAGTGTAAATGTGTGTGGCAGGTCAATAAGTGAATCAAATCAATGTTTCCAAAGTAATGTTTCCCCTAAATCAGATTTTTTAAAAATCATTCTGTATTGTGATTTTCTTCATTATAACCATGATGAGAAAGTAATGAAGATGGAACTTTAATTCCATGTGGAAAAGGTCACAACCTTAAACCTACCTCACTAGGTTTTCATTGTCTCCAGTCCCCTTGCATGTAGCACATTCAGTTCTTAAATCCTCTGATTTGGGCTTCTTTTGTAGAACAGACTGCCTTTGCCTTCTTTCTCTAGGAATACGTTCCTATCAGAGAAGAAGCAAAAGAAAGGGGGTGGGGAAAGCAAATATTTTCAATTACAGTACTGAAGGTAACATTTCACACCTAGAGTTTAAACTTAGATTAAAAAATTAAACAAACAAACAGAACAATAAAAAGGCTATTATCCCAACCTCAGGTTTTTCTTCTTCAGGAACAAAGCTTCTTTTCCGTCCTCTAGTTCTCTAAAAGAAAATACATTTAAAAATCAATGTTATGCAACACAAAGTCTTTGCTATTTATCTTTTGTTCATAAGAGGAACAACATACCTGAGGAAATGTGTTAAAACAACTATGGAACCAGTACAATTGTAATTATAACTGTTATAAACATCACTTTAGACACCATATTGTAGATAGCTATAGCCTAAAATTATGCATATGCATGCCTTTAATTTTTTGCATTGAGGGGATGGATGCTTATTCCAGTGAAATAAAGCTTAAAGATGACAATAAAGATTATCATGTCAAACACATTTTTAAAAAAAGATATACAAAATTCTATAAGACTTATAACCTTAATTAAGCAAAGAATAAAAATGTACACATCTACAGGAAAAATACCTGTAAGAGTCAGATTCCTAAAACATATATGCAAGCACTATGCCAACAAGGAATATGACCATATCTACGTACTTAAATCAGTGGAGACTAACTCTGTTGATAGGTGTGCCATAAATTAGCCCCATAGCCTCTGCAAGTGCCTATCTTATCTTCTTCCTGCCTGATCAGCTGTTCTTTCTGCTCCTTATCCATTCTACTGCTCTGCTTTCTGCTTCCTGCCCTATCTGCTGCTGTGCTTTTCTCTCCTGGTCTGTTGGGTGCCACACACAGAAGCTGCTTGTGCCACTTTTGGATACATGTCACAGGTTGGCCACCACTCACTCAAAACATTGCTGCTTGTTATGCTCAGAGTCCTTTAAATCCATCCTAGAATCTCAGAGCACTTTAGAAAGATGTCCCTTCTGCATTATTTGGAGAGAAGAAATTTTGTGATGTTGGTCAATACCACTTTAAGCACAACCAAGATTAACACATTTGCTAACCTAATTGACCAGTCACCATGATAATTTTATAGCATCCACATCCTAACATGCTAGAAAACTGGAAACACTTTGTTTCTGAAACAACCATGAAGGGTGCACTTTTGCACAACATGGCACTTCCTAATGCTAGTGGACTTATCTCCCACCATAGTAAAACTGACTATTCTCATAACCCTGTACTCCCACTTTCCAAATGGATGAAGCTAAACAGGAATAGGGCACAGTGTCTACATATGAAGTTTTTCAGGAATAGCTGAACAGCTAAACAGCCATGCCTTGATCCAAACCCAATAAATCAATAATAGAATATAAAAGTTTTGGCCAAGATTTAAAAAAATAAGAGGCAAAATAGGACTCTAAGAGCGCATCCAGATAAACGCACGTGTGGTTTGTAGCACCACAAACAACATGCGCTGTTAATTTGCAGCAGGGTGGGGTTTTTTGACACTGGGAAATCCCGATGTCAAAAAAACCCATGCCAAAAGAAAGCGTGCACCCCCAAAACTGGAGCCTGGCCAGCTGGAGCCACACTCCAGCTGCCAGCCAGGCTCTGCATGCCTGGATTACTGCCACTGGAGCCCTGGGAGGCCCCCAGAACCCCAGGTAAGGCTGCTGGGGCTAAACCAGGTACTGGCCCCAGCCTCCCCTACCCACCCTGGGACAACTTGCCAGGCACCAGAGCATGCATGTACAGGCGCTCCCCAGGGACAATTAGCAGTGGCAAAACTATGTGCCACTGCTATTTGTCCCCAGGAAAATGCACATGCATGCTTGTCTGGACACATTCTTAAGTCCTGTGTGAAAACTTTATTTCCAAAGATAACCCAGTGAGGCTAGTTTAGCAATGAAATAAGCAATTATGTTTCTTTAAGTAAATTTAAGTGTCTATCTTTGGACTGTTTTTTTTTTTTAAGCTTGACCTCACTCTTACAATCTACATATTTTATGCATGGCAAGCGATAATAAAGTTTTGTTCCATAAGTACTTAGTTGTTTTTTTTTCTTTTGTTATATATATAAACCCATATAACATCATGTACTACATGCAAGTGTGTTATACCCGGGTTTTGTTTTGCTTTTTTAAATCTTTTTTTCCCCCCCCACTTCAAAGATATTCTAGTTTAATACTCTAGATCTGAATAGGGAACAAAAAGTCTACTAATGATATTATCCATATGCATTTTCTCTCATCTAGAATGAATTAACATTTTAACAAATTAACTATGAAAATATTAACAGGTAAATCATATACTTTACATTTTTCTCTCCTAATCCAACACATATCAAAGTGAAGAAAATGCTTCTGCAGCAAAGAAATTCAAACTATTCCATGTTAACTAGGACAATTAAGTCAAACCCTTAAAACCTTTCGTCAAGTTACTCATCTTTACATTTATGTAGACTGAAGAGCATGGAAGGAGTGATGCCAATAGCTATTTGGCAGATGTTTCTAACACCGAAGGATTAAACTATATATCAACATAAATAAATACATATGGAAAGACTAAGATGACATCTTTAAATTAAGAAAGAAAATACAGAAGACAAATCATAAACTCCAGCTCTCAAATATATAAAAAGAAGTGCATGCAATATATTTAAGCAAAGTGTGAATTTAATGCCATCTGTTTTCATTGGCTACTAACACACAACAGATGGAATGGTTATCATCAAAAGTGAAAACTATTCAGCACTGCCAACTGGCTGAAGAATTTGATGTATTTAATTTAGCTTGTAACTGTGACAAGGGGAAAAACATGAATGAAAAATAAGAGATTTTCAGGAACAAAAATGTATTATTTAAGGTTTTCATGCAAGTAAGCCACATATGAAAGTCAAGTTTGAGTCACAGCCTTTTTATTTCCCATACAGTAGCAATAATTGAAACCCATATAAGGAGAGAACATGAAGTTGAGTGTGGTGATCATTCTACTAATCAGCAATAGCTTGACTAACATTATGGAGAATGTCTCAACACACTGCTGGTTAGCTGCAGTCACACTTGGTTCATGAATCTGTATATCAATGCTGAAAAAAAAATGCAGACTAGAATTTCAGAATCCACCAGCACTTCCCAAACAACCAAACATAGAAAACAATGAAATGGTTAAGCTTGGTATAGAATTTTCAAGCTAATGTCAATTTCAGTTGCTCATAACTTGATTAGAAACCTTTTTCATTGTAATCCTTCATGCTTTGTCTAAGTCCAAAAGTGCAGCTATTTTTGGAAAGTTGGTTTGGTGATTTAAGAATAATAGGTTGGGAAGACAAACTGATAAATATTTTCTTCCTGAAGCATTCCAAGTGCAACTGTTTTGCTACTATGCACAGCAGGATTTAAAAAAACCCAGAAACCCAGAACCTGACATTTATATGAAAAAATGATAAGAGCTAGAGTTAAATATGTAAGGATGTTTAACTGGTACTGGAAAATAAGATATAATTCATCAGGTGTGTATAGAGTTGGCTCTGCTCACTTTATTGACAAATAAGTTTTTAATGCCTTTTTGTATGTCTACTGTCCCTACAGTACCAAACAGGGTTAATGCTATGTGAAATTAAAATATTAGCCCACTTGTGCATCCCCTGAAGTGTTAAGATTCAATAAGTTACTCTTGTCAAAGCTCACTGAAGACAGTGGCATCATTAAAGGCCTAACTGGAAATGCTATGGTAAATATGTCCTGCAGAATTTTACTAGTAAGAATGTACATGGATGGAAAGATCTGTTTCATTTTCTGATCCCATGCTTGATTTCTTTTCAGCTACATACCATATTTACTCAAGTATAAGATGAGGTTTTTTCCCCCTATCAGCATGGGGAGCAAGCTTTTCATCTTACATTCACATACCTCATTAAATTCATTATTTATCATTAAACTACTGCCAAAAATCATCATGTACTCAGGAATGGAAACCAGCTATGAAGTTTATTAAATGAAGGCAACAATAAGCATGACTATAAAACACATGGACCAGATTGGGCAAACATACTGATGAAAACCTGCCACAAGGTTAGGTTAGCACAGCCCATCTTAATATGATGCATGGTATTGCTCATTGCACATAATCCCCCTCAGTGCTGACTCTTTTTCAAGTCTTAGTAAGCCACTGCAATTAATACATTTTACTTCCCCTTCATTCCGGCATCTGAGCTGTGCCTTTCTTTCCCATTTCCAATTATTACTGTTTCTTCACAAATCTTAAATCACTGGCATCACTCAAACAGTTCACCCGAAATCCCTGTCACCCCCTCTCGCCCATGATTAGCATGGTCCTGCCCTCCAGGAGGTAAAGCCAGACCAGCATGCCATAAACCTCACCTGCATATACATTTTGGAGGATCCTAGGGCTCATGACAAGAACACCTGGTTCCAGTCAGGAGTGGGTGGCTAATTAACACAAGGATTCTTGGAGGGGAGGGAGAGAAGTCATCTGGTGCATGCACGCGTGCGCACACACATATATTAAGGAGTGCTGAGCTGTGGAGTCACCATGTTTTGAAATTTTGAAATGCTGTTGACTCTGCTGGGGCCCAGCTCAATAAACCATATGCTAAATCATGAGCCTTTTGGCTTTGAACTAATATCATGCACAATTTGTACTATATGTAAATATATTCAAATGTGCTGCATACAAGTTTGTTTATGGGGCACCTGTGCTAAACACGGCAGTAGTTTCAAAAAAAGTAAACAACATCAGTTCTGGATGAACTAAGTCTATGGGTACTCAAAATAATTTGCCTATATGCAAAAATATAGGCGTGTTTATTTCAAAATCAGTATTTTAAAATTTGTTCCTCACTTATGTGTGCTCAAGGAGACCAGGGACTATCACAGTAACCAGGATGAGGAAGGGGATGAAGTGGAGGGGGGGAGAGGTTACAGGGGGCAAAAGGCAAGGAACCACCTGAC